GAAGGTTAACAAAAGTAAGTACGGTCTCTTGTCTAATCTTGTTAAGGATGTGTTGGCAATTCAAGTTTCAACTGTTGCTTCAGAAAGTGCTTTTAGCACAAGAGGAAGGATCCTTGATCCTTTCGTAGTTCATTAAGTCCTAAAATGGTGGAAGTTTTGGTATGCACACAAAATTGGTTGAAAGCTTCTCCACAATTAGATGGTTTTCACATGGAAGATATTGAGCATTACAACCAGTTAGATGAAGGTAATATGTATTTTATCATAAATTTTGTTGTTTTGAGTCTTTTGACTTTATTTTTATGTATTTCGTTGTCAACTTAATCAATTTTGTTTTTTGTTTTGTAGAATTGGAATCAATGAATTCAAAATTGAGTGAAGATGATCAAGGGCACGAGAATTGATTTGTTTGATGGCTACTTTTTGTTTGAGCTAAGTGCCAATAGTTATTGGATAATTATTTTGTATGATGTTGCAAGACTATTATTTTATGTTTTAAATTTATTGATGTTGGAAGACTATATTGATGTTGCTTTAAATTTAGTATTTTTGTGACTTTAATATTTGTTTACAATTGTCCCAAACCGACCAACCCAACCCGACCGACATTTGGTTGGGTTGGGTTTCAATCTTTACATGGGTTGGGTTGGGTTGGGTTGGGTTGGGTTGAACATCAATCAAACCGATCATGTTGGGTTGGGTTGAGATTTGGATAAAAACCTACCCAACCCAACCCACGTCCACCCCTAAATTTTGTGGTGGATTTCTTAATTTTCTCAAGAGTGTTTTTCTTTGCAATTGGAACACCTATTTATAGGCTTTGAAGGGTTCCCACGAAATGGTGCAAAATTATATTGAAAAAGCACCAAATTCAAAAGAAAAACGGTAAAAAACGAATCCCCAACAGTCACTTTGTATAATCATGCGACCGCATGGGCTATAACCATACGGTCGCATGGTTATACTGCAAGTGGCCCTCCCATTTTCGGGAGGGCCTCATGTTACTACTATTTTGAACAACTAAAATTCTAACAATGAGTAGGCACTGAAACCTGACCAAGAATCAACAAACAAGAAATTCTATTTTGTATTTCAATCATCAATCGAATGCACGTTATACATATGCCCAAAATATAATGCAGATCTCCTTTTATAGAGATAAATAATTCTATTATTTATGCAATAACATTCGAAATATTTATTTTATCATAGGCATTAATTTAGTCATTCGATGAAATTGTCATGTGTAACCATCGTGCAAGTTAATAATAGCTCACTTTATTTTGCAAGATATTTAACTTGAATTTTATAAATATTTTGAAAGGTAGAAGTACTAAAAATGATAGTATTGGATAGTTGTGGAATCAAAGTGAAGATGAACTATGTCAATTAAATATTTAATTAATGAAAGAACTACAATTATTATGTTAATATTGAGCTCATTTTGAAGTTCGTAATTATGTGCTCCGACTCAAGAAAAAAGTTCGTAACTATGTGATGCGGCTCAAAAAAATGTTAGTTTGGTCAAGCTAGACATAGAGTTTTAACCATCCAAAGAAATTAATGGAAAATCAAGCATTAGTGCTTCCTATTTTGATGAGCTTTACGGGTTTGGACTGGTTAAGTTGATTATTTTGTGTACTACTATGTTATATCTCTTTTCTAATCTATAATAATTAATTTATGGAAATATAAAGAAAGTTGAACAACGTTTTCATTTCCAATAACTTATTTTTTAAATAAAATAATTTTCTACGTAAATTTAAAATTTTTCCTTACATTTTTAAATACACGTTCTCCAAAAATTTACTATTACAAACTTATTCTCAATAAAAATCGAGTAACCCTTTAGAACCGTATAGTGAAAATTGATAAAAATGTGAATTCCATGAAATTTGTAACTGAAATTAACTAATGATTTTGACTTAAATTTTAAATAAACTTTCTTGTCGAAGCATCACTGGCCTCGAACACTAGTGTAGTCGACAGCACTAATTTGGTGAGAATATGATTTGGCCAAATTTTTTTCAACTAAATAAAAAAAAAAAAAAAATTTCTCATTCTCTTTTCGACACCTATCTATATGTAAATTATTATGCTATACTAATAGTATTATTTTATTTATTTATTATTTATTTATTTTTTTTGTCACACCAAACAGGATAAAGTGTGATTATTCTCAATCAATCAATAACGAGTTTTGAGGTCAAATTGGCTTACCGTTTCAAGAATCCACCACGAATCACAGATTTTTCTCGCAAAAAATGGATTCCCGCGCCGCCGAGATGGATATTTATATGCAAAAATGAAATCACAGCCTCAAAGATTTGTATTCTTTTTGTGGCCACAAGTTCACGCACACGCCACACACAAAAACAAATTAGATTTCTATTGCGTATAAGCAAATCATTACTAATTATTACTAGTTTTGGAAAGCAGTTGATGGCCGCCGCGCGTTCTCTGGTGACGCCTCACGTGATCGGCTCTACCGTATTTGAACTTTCTAGAACCGCCTCCTACATCGGAGCCCCGTTTCCCGTCCGGGTATCCACTCGGAGCCACTGCATTTCCAGCCCGGTCACTGCTTATGTAACCCGTCGGCCTCCAGAAGGGCCCTCCTGCATATTTGTTGGACCCATCGAAACCGCCAGCCAAGAAACCCTCGAAGCGCTCTATAGTCAGGTAAGCGGAATATGTAACTGAACTAAACTCTTCTATCTAGAATATTTGTTTTCCTAGTTCTTTTCAAGTATTTACTTATTTTTGTTGATTGATTGTTAGGCACGGGATGCGTATTATAGTGGGAAACCTTTGATAGTGGATGATATGTTTGATAGAGTCGAGGTAAATTTTCTTGTTCTTCAAATCAGTGTAGAATTGTTCATTTTAATGTTATCCATTCATTTGTAACAGTTGAAGTTGCGGTGGTATGGTTCAAAGTATGTGGTGAAATACCCACGATGCAGTCTCAGACGGCAATCTACTTATGCTGATGCTGAGGTAATTTGTTTCAAATACTGGCTTATTATCTGTCTGTATATGAGTTAATGTGCTCATCTCGCCTCGCACTATTTTAAAGTCTTTTTTATGATGTGAAATAAAAAAATTTATGGCAAGCAATGCACGAAATGACTGAGTTTGAATGGTTGAAATCTTCTTAAATGATTTTATGTATAATTTGATCCTTTAACTAGACTTATTAATTAAGCAATAGAGCTAACTGTCACAGGCCTAGCTTCGTTACACACGACGCTAGAATCGTGCGGCCTTAACACTCCAACGCTCCCGTCTCCACGAAATAGCGTTAAGTCAGTCTTATACCCCAACAATAATTTAACCAAATGAGACTAAATTATATGTTTACTTTGGTAGAGATGGTAGATAGGAAATTTACGAGGAAAAGAGCACGCACATATTTGGGAAAATTTCTTTGTATTAAAATAAGAGAAAACTATTTACAAACTCACTACAATTTTCTCTCTACAAAGATATCACTCTATTTCACTTTACTCTCATTCCATCCATGGGAATTTTCTCTCAACTCTCTATTTTTCCCTCTGCTCATTCATGTTCAATTCATATGAATTATAAATGATCAAGTCCCTCTATTTATAGGCAAACTCATGGTATGCTAGTTGGCATCAATGGCTATAATTAATCTTGATCCAATGGCTCTTATTTGTTATAAGTTGCCTTAAATCTCCTTTGACCATAAGGTAGCCAAGTTGGAATTGACTACCTTACAAGTGGCATGTCTCTACACTTGCAAATTGCCTTGTTGCATTGTAACTTGCCTCTTTCCAAATCTATGCTAGTTGATATGTCACTTTCCATGCAAGTTGATTTCTACAACTCATGTGTGCAAGTGGACATGTCTCCATCAAGGTGGCCAAGTTGGACTTTGCTTCCTCAAATAAGTTGTCAAGTGGCGTGTTGGCCTCATTTTGCAAGTTGTCCAATTGGCTCAAGCTGGCACACACTTGTATCTAAAACAACCGGCTATAATCCACGATATTGCTTCCCCCTTGCGATAGTGGTTTTCACCCGAGAAAACCAGATTTCCGTCCCTGCGTCCCCAGTCGACATCTGCCTGCGTCCCCAGCTTGCGTCTGCCTGTGTTGCTGTTGCATCCCCTATCGCAATGTGCCTGCGTTGTTGTCGCGTTCCCTACCGCAATGCTTGCAATGTGCCTGTTTGTGTCCCTTTGCTGCAGTTCCTGTCTTGGTCCTACCTGCGGCCTACGTTCCCTACCATAGGTACTTGTGTACAACCATAATACACTACCCTCGTTACCCGAATTTCCCAGCCGCAACCTGGACGTATCAGCCGTGACCATGGGAGATGTAAGTCACTCCCCCACCAAATTTGGTGATGCCCTCATCACCATGTACCACCGAAGTTTAGACCTTATCTGCCATAAGTCTATCTCATGTTCCCACTTTATGTCATGACATTCCCGTGTCATGCCAAGTCCCAGTTCATCACCTTGCGGTCCGTGACATTACAGTCCCTAACTAGACTTATTGATTGAGTAGAGGACCTAATGGCTAATTGCATCAAAAGATTACCTTGTACAGTTTGAATCAAACAAGGTTTCAACAAGAAGTATGGTTCCATGTTCCTGGTCAATTCACAAAATTGTGCATTGATAACATTAATAAAATGGTAATTTCACCATGCTCTTGAAGGCATTTAAAAGAACAATCACACCAAATGCATTCTACAAGTGAAATCTTCAATAATCAACAAAATTGAAGAAACTGAATACTTTACACTCAGCAGTCCTAATAAATTTATATTCAATAATTTGTTTTAAAGGAATGTGCATGGGTAAGGATTTGATAAAAAAAATTCAGTATATTTTGCTAGACTTCACCATGGTTGTATTCATAACTCTTGCAAATACAGTTGACATTGGCACGAGTACAACTGCAAGTATTACTTGATATCTTTGGAATATTGCGTATCACTCATCTAATTGTTTGATCGATTGAATCATGTATCTACTACTCATTATGAGTCTCTCAATTGGAAATAGATCATTGTTGGTTTGCAACTTTATTGTTGTAATTTTTATTGGAGTTGTGTAGATCCTGATGTAGTACATTTTAGGCCCTTCAAGAGTAGCATGACTTCCATATCTACTAGAAATGATTTTGCAAAGACTAAGTATTTTACCTAGAACAATAGCACGTTAGTGTTTTTTCCCTGCTCTACTTGAATACTGAATATGTGGATGTAGGGCAGGAAGATCCTTCACAGGTTGTCGCTTTAGCAAGCATATGGTTCTTGATCCTTGGTTTTGGCTCTTCAGCATGTCTTGTGCCTATACTCTACACCATTTGTCAAGCTTATCAAGATGCAATTGATTCTGGAGTTGTTTACGAAAGTCAAGCTTCTGTGTTGGAGTTTCTTACCACGCTTAATGGCACTCTCCTAATATTATTGGGATTCCTGATTGGCTACCCAATTGCATCAGCTTCAGGTAATATATCTAAAATCTTCAGAATATGAAAGTGATGTTGAATGTCTTCAATTACCACCTAGAATTCCTTAATCAAGAATTAAGCTGTACTATTATACCATGAAGTGTCTATTGACCTTATTTGTGAGTGCTTTTTAGCTCCTTATAAGCTCTCCCAAACATGTTTTGTCCACTTTGTGAATTTCCATTCCTGATGATATTTTTATTCATGTATGTGCGCTATAATTGAGTTTGTTGTCTGTTTTGAACCTTTTATGTTGTTGTTTCCCTTAGAACTACCTTTATTTATGCTCTCTAGTCGACATGCAAGAAGATCTATTTGATTACGCTTCTTAAATTTCTGAAGGACATGTTATAAACGGTTTGTACATAGATACAAATGAGGTGTGAATAATTGGGTAGTCCATATGGGTCTCACAAAATTTGTGGATTTAAAGTGGTTTGACCGATTATAAACAACATTAGCCAAACATAGGCTTAGTGTCATTTTACTTTTTCCACTTTCATTAATGGCTATACTGAGAAATGGGATGCAAAACCTATCAGAATCATTGCTCCCTTTAAATAAGCAAGCAAGATGGTCTTAGTTTGAATTATGTTTGGGGGGCTTATAAGCTTGCTTATTTTACTTATGAACTCATGCTTTTTCTCTATCTTTCTATAAGTTATTTTATAAGCTCTCCCGAACATGCTTTTATATAACATATCTTAGAGGAGAAATTGTTTTTTTTTTTTATTATGCCATGGGTGCCAGGTTCTTCCGTTTGTGGTGGGATTGGGTGTGGGGATCTCGGGGTTGTTGAAAATATTTATTGACTATTGTTTTAGTATGTAAGCAGTGGTGGATCTAGCACCCGATGAGCATCGACAGCCACGCGTGCTGGATCCACCAAGAACAAATTTTTTTTTTTTTGTTGACAGTAGATAAAAGTTTTAGGTTATATATTTAGTAATTCATTTTATTTTCTAGAGCTTTCATATACAAATTGGAGGTCTAGGGATAGAATCTCTTCCTAACCAAATTATTGTGTAATTTTTCTAGTTCTACAATTTTTACCAAAACTAATGCAATAGAGAGGGGATTCGAACTCGTGACCCCTCTTTAAGATAATTGAAAGCTTGACCATCATGTCATTTGTTGAATTTTGACACTAAACGTAACAAAATAATATATATTCCGTTTTAGTGGTTTTAGTGCAATTGCAAGAATTCGAACCTATGCTCTTCCTTTGAATTATACAAAACCTGGCCACTGTATCATTTGGTGAATATTGTTTACATATATAACAAAATTATATATGTTTAGTTTTAGCAAAATAATTATTATATTTAATTTGTATTATTTTATTACGGTCAACGGCCGCTCGTGCTCATTCAAAATTCTGGATCCGCCACTGTATGTACGTCTGTATTGATGCAATAGGGTTTTGGAGGCAAAAATGTCTGGTGAGTTGAGAAGAACTCAAGTATCTTTTTGTAAATCATGTAACTGCTATCATAAACTAGGATTCTACACGGGCTACAGGAGGGGATTTTCCTATTTTCTGGTAATTTTCGAATGATAACTAGTAATGACGATATTGTTGTCACAATTGCTTTATGGGATAAATGATAACTAAACATCAATAACATTATAATTTATAACAGATTGGATTTCGAGTATATTCGCTGACTGTCATGCTGTGCATGTAATGAGCTCATGTATTAGAAGAGTTATGTTTTCTTTAAGGTTGTCGATTATCTTATGCAGAAGCACAGCTGAATGGAATTAAATAAATAGCATGTTATGCTTCAAATATGCCCTCTAACTAGGAGATTTCATGTAGTTGGAGCACTTCAAAGGCTTTGGAATAATAACCTGGTGGCTTTAAAAGGTGCATGCCCTAATTGCAGTGAAGAGGTTAGTAATGGAAATTAGCCGCCATATTTCGAACCCTTTTGTTTTTATTTGAATTGTTGGTATTTATTATCTCTCACATCTGACTTAACACTATTATTCGGTGCATGATCCTTGGATCTTGAGCTACTACTACATTTATTTTATTTTATTTTTATTTTTATTTTTGCAGGTATTTGCATTTGTTAGGTATGATCAGTCCGATAGTTCCCCTCATAGAGCGGAGTGTCATGTATGTGATAGCTGCTTAGAATTTCGCACTAAGGTCGAGGTACTTGAAGCTAGACTCTGATTTTGGACGCTATATTATAACACGTTTGTCATTTCAGAAATCAGGAATGATACATGTTATTTGTATGTGTGTGTGTCATTAATTTTTTATTAGTACCTGAAAGGGCCAATAAGTTGAGATCATTCCCGAAATATTTTAGGAAATTTGTTCTAGTGAATTTGGCTTGTTTCTAGTTCCTTTATGCATGTTTCTAAATCAATGTAAAGCAGGTTAACAAAACTATTCACGGAGCAGAAACTTGAGCGAGAAATGGAGCCATTATAAATCTCAAATGCTAAAAAGTTCTGCACTCTTTAACACTTACCGGGAAATTGACATTTACGATGAAGTTCTTCTTTTCTTCCTCAAAAAATGAAAATGTAAAAAAATAAAAAATTTAGTTCATTGTTTCAGGCTCTGGAGTAAGACATTTCCTTGGGGTCGTTCCCCAACAGAGAGAGTATGAGAGGGATGGCTGTGCAAGGGGATGAGGTTTGGGCACTTCGTCATACCTGAAAATACATTTTTCCTTCTTGGGACTGGGAGATGGGATGTATGTTTATCACTTTATTAGCATGCTCGTTAAGAAGTACCAATTAGCCATTAGACTCCTCAAGACTTTTTGGAGACTTAGGCAGATCTGTACTTTTTCTGTGTCTTCATTACGGCTTATTTGTAGCATATTATACCAGTTGTTTTAGGTTGTCGCCTGAGGGTAGTTGAGAATGAAATTCATGTGAATTTTTTTGTGACTCTCGAAGGAATGGGTAAACTGGAGTTTCTATATTTTTACACAGTTGTTAACATAGCATGTTTTTTAAGTGCTGGCACAAACAAGTGAACCTCTTCTTTGGATTTTTATTAGCTGATGCTTGAGGAATGCTTCCTCTTCTTATGGTATTAATAATGATTTTATTTTTTATTTTTTATCTGTGATGTCATTACAGAAATCAGTTTCGAGACCAGGTAGTCGATGGGTATATGGTCGCATATACTTAATTAAACAGAGGGGTAGACGTCAAAGATGGGCATAAAATGGGTCTTGCGCATTTTGTTCAAAGAGCCTTTAGTATAGAAGACATTCACCAATTTTTTTCTCCAGCTTTTGGGTTGGCAAGCTGTAGCTATTCTGGTGCAGGTTCTTGTGACTGATGATCTCTTATATTGAATAATATGGTAAACACAGTACAATATTTTCCAATTCTAGCAGAAAAAGTTCTTCTTCTTTAGTCAGAATATTGGTTTACATGAAATTTTGTTGAATAGGGATTATGTATAAACCAATATGTTTAAAATGGAGTTCCAATGCATGTCCTGTAGGCTGTATCAATTATTTTATAATTTTAGTGCAGCCGCCAATGGTTGTTGATCGACGAGCCTGGTATTTCTAGTCGTGTAATCAAAACCAATCATGATACACATACAGGTGGGACACATGTAGACGCGTCATTGAAAAGTTCGAAAAATTAAAATAAAAAATATCAATCATTTGCTACCAAATCAGTCTTATCTTCTTTCTTATTTTTAAGCTTGACTAAGTGATTTTATTCAAACAAAACTAAGCCTGCATAAACTTGTCCCATGTCTCTTAACAATTTTAAGCTTTTAGTTGAAGCGGTTTAATATGATATTTGTAATGATCCAACGCGCCATTTATAGTCATTATCTCTCATCATTAATTTTTCAAATCAGTGAAATTTCAGCATGCGAAGTATAGAGGAGCCTTGAAATTTGGATATTAATTGTATCAATTTCATCTACATGGCAACCACAGCCATTTGTTAAACTATGCATATTATAACGTTTCCACATTTCACTTGCACAAGAGAAGAAACGAAAGGTAAAACAAATGAAACTCCAAAGGATAAAATATAAAGACTGCAGACTAGTTTTGCCCACTAAAAAAGTTCAACTAATATAACAAAATTCGACTTTGAACTTCCTCAGCGTCTACAGAGCACATATTTAGCCCCGTAATGTCTAAAACTAAATAAATCAATCGTCCTTTCGCCAAAAGAGAGGCAAACGATAGCAGATCCGAGTCGTGAATGTTGCTGGTCAGAAATGTGCCAAACTGTATGCTAGAATCCACGCAAGCTGATCAACAGAAAACAAAATATTGAGTTCATTCATGAACATTCAGCAGATAGATCGTGTTTAAAATGCCATAAAGTTCTGGGAAACTGGTTAAATACCAGAAAGAGCGATACTGAAGCAAAGAGCCCCTCTTGAAGAAGAGCTCCATGTCCGCCAAATTCTTCTTCGTCGATTTTTAATATAAGCGAATAATATCCGTATATAACCCCTGAGGATAAAACCACAAACCTGGAAAATCAAACCCAGCAAACCAAGAGTTAATTGTGGAATCTTTCTTGTACCAAAGCAAAAAAATGTTCATGGTACACTTAACATTTGGCATGTTTGGTAACAAAATTTTAGCTTCTTTTTCTTCGTTAATACTAATGTTATACAACCCACCTTACAAGTTGCAGGTGTTTTCCTTTTAAACACAGAGAATAAAGGGAACCTATTGCCTTGTTGAATGCAACATAAGTTGTTGTGTTATCTAAATGAAAGTCTGATACTTCATATTGAATGCACTCGTAATATTCGAGTCATTATTTCGAACCCAAATAAAAATCAAACAGAAAACTTATACTGCATGAACAAGATGTGTTCGATTTTATTACTAAATGTATGCTGGAACACCAAGAAAGTGTTTATTGAAACAAATGCATATGTACGAGTAGTTTCAGCAAATGTATTCATCAAAGAGATTACTAATAGGAGACCAATTAATTTTACCTAAAGAAAATAGATAATGGAAGTTATATGTATGTCAATGCCATGGAAAAGAAAATCATTATTTAGCAAGGTGAAAATAAAAGTAATAGTCATATCAAATCTTTGTCGCTTCTCTTCAAAATCTACAGCTTTATGACAAAAAATGTATATATAAACAACAGACTACAAGCAGTAACTTACAGGAGAAACCAAATGCCCCCAACTAGAGGAATGGCACCCCATAGCAGCCCACACAGAAGGGCCAATGCTTGTCTAATCCAATGCAATACGTCTCCCAGTTTATCCTGTGACAAGGAATGCATACAATCAGTATACATAAGTTTTCTGGCAAACACCTGTAGCGTACAAGCATCAAAGTTCAGAGTTTGCTCTAAAATGAAGATCGTGTCATTAAGTATATAGTAGTTGGATATATGCCAATATCACTGTTGAACAGCATACAACTGCAATTGACTATGCTATCTTGTATCTGTTTAATGAACAAGGGACGTATCTCACAAGCAAAGCAAGTTCTATTATCTTGCTGAAATTTTAATTCTAATCTCCTTCAACAAATCACGAGCTACAACAAAACCAAAGATCTACAGCATAAATAGAGATCTCCTGTATTGTATTTCCTTGTAAATAGTGAAGTTTAACAGTGCAAACATCTCACTGTGACTGTTGTTCAGGATTGGTAATTCTCATAAAGAAAACCTCTAATCACATTAGTTTTGGCATCTTTCTCCTTTCCACTTCAACACAAGTGCATAATCATTGAAGCAACGAGAGAAGCAAGATAGGAGAGCTGCGTAAAAGAGAAAAAATAGAAGCCATATTCTTTATTTATAGAACATTTATATTCATTAGATATTTAAATAGGATTTATAATAATGAAATCATGAACTAGGCTGGAATCTTAAGTGTCAGCTTTCCTTGCCCGCATCGGTAATTGTTTAAGATCAAAATATAATAATCTACATTAGCACTTCCAAGAAAAATAGATGATGAAAACTGCAATAATTACATTAACTTGTTCTGATTGGGATGAGTATTCACCGAATAAACTCACATATTCCAATTTGGTTCCATTCGAATTCAACAAACTTCAGCTCAATTACTTGAGATGATACAGAGAACTCCTAGAGCTCAGCTTCCTGTTTCCAACTATCACATTATATACTACACAATATCATCCTCAATTTCGCTTATCGAAATACTCTAAACTCTCCTTCCCCAATAATGTCAGTAATAGTGACAGGGTTAAATCTTATGTCTTTTATAACTCGTTTTTATTTTTCATTTACAAGCATCGGTGATGTATTCAACAATCTAGAACATCTCAAATTGATAGCAGATTCTCACTACTTCCAACAGTAGTTATTCAAAAACTTTAACATCTTAATTCAATAGTCAACTCCTAAAAATTCATCAATTTGAACATCATCCACTTAATAGCACACATTAATACGGTAACCTAAAAACACAATCATTTTAAAATTCTTTGCCTTACGTAGACCAATAGCAAAACGAATTATGACAACTATCTTAATTAATTATACTAAAAAAACCGATGTAAAATCACACAAATAAAAGAAGCTAAAACCTTATCCCAAGACGCATCTTGATCGAATAATTTCGTCAACTTAAACGGAGACAAATGGCCGTTCTGATCCTCCTGCTGCTGTTGTTGAAGATTAAATTTCACCGATTTTCTTTCTCTCATCTTCAATTAATTATGGAAACGGCTGATTTCTTCAAAAATCAAACGCTGTAAATTAAACTTCTTCTCTTGTTTTTCAACGGATTTGAAGGTCGGAAAATACGAGAAGAGATTGTGTTTCATCAGATTGGAAAAGAGCGAATGAGTGGATCATTGAATAGTAAATATTCATAAATCAGGGGAAAAAAAAAAGAAAAAAAGAAAAAAGAAGCTTCGCAGTAATTTTATTTTTTATGTTTTTAAATTTCGATTTTGTTTAATTTCTTAATTGTTTTTTCCCCCCAATTGCACCAGTTATTTTTAAAATGAAAACTCAGTTCATGTATATCTATCATTCTACAAATATTTTTTTTATCAAAATTCTTTTTTGATCGTTTCATAATAAAATATGGGTACCATTATTTTCATCCACACTTTCTATATATTCATCAACTTTTAAAAATTAAATTTTGTTATATTTTAAATTCTATGTAAATTTACTTAAATAGACGTAAATAAAATTAAATAAAAATACATAATTCTAAATTAATTCACTAGTTTTTATTTTCATTTATGCTTAACTAGATTCCTAATAGATAGAGAAAAATACATGAATATAATTATAGGTGATGGTGACCCTAGATATGATTTCTATGCTAGGAATCATATCGGATTTCGAAAAATGCAAAACATAATTTGATGCAGTTTCATCAGTTAATCAAGAAAGAACAATAGTTGTAGCTAACGAAGTTAGTAAAATTTAGTTTACTTAATCGAACTTTTTTCTTTCTTTAACCTTTGTTGTTTGAAGCATTCTAATACTCAGAATTTCAAAAGATAAGGAATTTATTTCATATTAATTTAATGTTCAATGAGTTCAACTTTGTTCTTATTTCATTCATTTGATTTAAGAATTTATGGTTAGGGATTGGATGAATCTATAGTGATAGGGATGCATTTAAAGTAAGATAAATATATAAAATTCATGTGGATATATAGTATTTAAATGATTGAATTTAATGAGGTTAAAATTTGAATATGACGTGGATGTAAATAATATTTTTTTAAAATTTTATTACGGATAAACTTATAGTGTGATGTACTTATAAAAAATGTGAATGGAAATAGCAGTTCCCTAAAATATTTGATATCTAAATTTTAAAATATTTTCCTATATTTTAACTACTTATTTTTTTAATAATCATTATTTCAAAATTTATTTTCCTCAAAAAACTTTTTTTTAATAGGCATAAAATAGGGGCTCTTAGAAATTTCTAAAAAAATAATGAATTAGCTGAAATTATTGAATTAACAATCCGTGCATCACCAAGTACGCAAAATTGAGGAAAGGACCTTTTAAAAAAATTGCACGTTTAGCACTTTTGAGAACATGTTACTTGCTCATCCCGTGCTTTAAATCCAAACTATTAAATCCTCAACTTTAGAAATCATCCATTTTGACAGTTGAATTTAAATGAAATGTCTAGGTCACGCTGATCACACTAAAATTATAAAATGAGTAAAATTTATAACATTTTTTGCCCTTGTTTGAGCTTCGTTTTTTCAAAATTTTATTTTTAACAACGCATTCTTTAATAACATAATTTTATGTATAAATAGAAAAATTAATCTTGTTTTTAACTATAAATTCTCCAAAAAAAAAATTTATTCCAAAATACAATTTATTTTCCCAAAATGAGCCCCCGTTTGGCCCCCATTCTTTCTAGATTTTAATGGTTGGAATAAAATTTTTTTTAAATGTGTGGTTGAAAATGAATGAATTTTTTTTTTTAATTTGAGTGTAATATTATTTTGTGGAAGATTGTTTGATTGAAAATAAGATAGTGAAAAAGAATGAGAATGAGAATGAGAATGAGAATGAGAATGGGGGTCAAACAGGGACTGAGACTCAAACAAGTCTCAACAAGAAAAAAAATGAAAATATAAAGAAAAAAGAAAGAAGAAAACACGCAAAAAACGCTTCAGCCATAACTAGAGCTTGTTGACCACTGTCATAGTCCACTAGCAATTGTCCAGAGTCGACTTATTTATTAAGCAAGCTGGACAATTTAAGACTCTAAATTATTGAAACGATTGTACTACATGTACTAATATGTTTATATAATTTATTAGCTAGTCATACCATAAACGATTGCCGACAAATTTTTCATTGATCATTCGTTTCATAATTGTTTTATTGCTCTCAGAAAGGTCCATTTAGAAATGTTGCATAAGATCCCCAATGCTTAAATCGCTTCTACCCTAAAAGACCAAACAACCATTCCCTACAACTTTTGTTCTTTGCTTGAGCAGTATAATTTGTGTATTCTCTTATTTCCCCCTTTTTTTTCTCGTTCTGAGTGTCTTATTAAATGGATTACATGTGGTATTCGTGCTCGACTTATTGTGTATTCAATTTAAAGGTGTTTAGATAATACTGACTTTAAATTGATCAATTTTACTTTATTTTTAAAATGACATATTTTGATTTTGTGGGAGTTCGGTGTTTTATATCTCCAAAATGAATTTTAACATGCCTATCTCATCTTGATACAAACACTATTTGGTATAAAATCGTGATTAATGAACAATGTGGACTTTTAGAATGAGATCAAAGTCCAAGTTCTGATCAATGGCTCCAACTGTGAAATCTATAATTGATGGTGATGGAAATGATCGGTGGGCTTGCATTGGACTTTGGCTTTTGTTTTGGTGACAAGAAGGGGCGTGGGTAAAGGTGGAGAAGATGATAATGAACTAGGTTCTCATATTTTATTTATTTTATCTAATCATAAACAATAAATTAAGAGCGTGCAGATGTTAATACTTTCGAAATACATCTAACACGTCAAAATTGACAGATTTTGTCTAGAAGGTCCAACTCTGCCAAATTCGATATAGGGCCCGTTTGGGATAGCTTTTCAGAAGCCAAAAGGAGCTTTTGTGGTCCAAAAGTGCTTTTGAACCTGTTTGGCTAATTTTATAAAATGACTTCTACTAATTGAAAGAGCTTTTAGAAGAAGCCACTTCTAATTTTATAAAATGACTTCTACTAATTGAAAGAGCTTTTAGAAGAAAAAGCTCTTCCACAAAAAAGACGGGAAGCCAGTTTCTACTTTAATGAAAATTTTAAATTCCAATATTACCCTTACATTTGTAAAGAACAAAATGAAATTCCAACCGTGTCCTAAGAAATCACGACCTTTTCAATTCTCTTCATTCTTCTCCAATCCCATTCTTCAGTCTACAGGAATTCCTCTCCTCTCTAGGTAAGATTTTGCAATTTACCTTCAATTTCTTATCATTTTATTTTACAATAACATTATTTATCTACAACACATGGGTTAACTACAATAGATTCGTATCGTTGCCTTTTTATTTTTCTTTTCTGGGTTTTATTCAAGAAATGACGGGTTTAACGTGTATTTATCTGGGTATTTTAATGTGCCTTCGGTTTTAGAAGATGGGTTTGTGATTGGGTATTTCCTGTTCATCTACATGCAGCCGATTGATGTTCCGGTAGAAATTTCTTTTATCATTGACATTTTCGTTTTGCCGTATACATTTCATTTTCTTCGAATTTCTTGCTTCCGAGTGCTGCTGAGTGGGTTTAATAATGAATGCTTGTGCCGTGTATTTATATATAAAGTGAGAAAGCAGAGCTTGGGAAAATAATTTTTAAATGATTGCAACAATGGATTTAGCATGAAATCAATAAAGACAAACTGAATTTTTGTAGATATATTGCTCATTCACAAGGGGGGGTGGGGGGTGAGGGTGCAAAAAGAAAGTTAAAAGTGAGCGGAACCCATGTGTTGTGAGGGTGAGGGTGCATGAAATCAGCAAAGATACCCCCACCAACGTTTTTTAGTTGCCATAATGAGTGGAACCAATCAGTCCATCTTCTAACTTCAATTTAAATACAATTTTGCATGAGTATGTCTCCAACATTCCTTGGTTCAAATATGTCCCTGTCTCTCTACATTCCTTGGTTCAATTCTTACTAAATACGTCCCTGTCTCTCTACATTTTCTTATTGAATCTCTGGTATATTCGCCATTTATAAAGCAAGAATATTGAGGAACAATTAACTGTAAGTAAAACATTTTTAAATGTAGATGGCAACCGAGGGGATAAAGGGAAAATCAAAAGCAATTTGGGATGCACGAACACATGAGATTTGGGTTGATGTAGCTGTAGAACAAGTGAGGGCTGGTAACAGAAATGTAACACACTTGAGCAAAGAGGGTTGGAAACTTTTTACTGAGAACTTTAACAAAGCAACAAATAGAGATTATGATAGGAAACAACTAAAAAATCATTGGGATGTAGTAAAGAAAGAGTGGCAGCTATGGGATGCATTGTTAAGAGGAGAAACTGGACTTGGTTGGGATATGGAAAGGCAAACTATAGATGTTCCAAATGAACGGTGGGTTACAAAACTACAAGTAAGTGTTTGAATTTTCTTTATTTAAGTATAATACACCCAATTATGTTAATATTTCTAAAATTGGAAATTATTTAACAGAAATATCCGGAAGCTGCAAAATATCGTGTGAAGGGCTTAGATCATGCATTCAAATTAGATGAGTTGTTTCGCGATGTCACAGCTACCGGAGCAAGGGCTTGGGCACCTACATCTGGTGTAATGCATCCTTTATATTCACAAAATACAACGATTACTAAAGATGATGATTCTGCTGAAAATGAACAATTTGATGGTGACCATGAGGAAATAGGGTATAGCAGTCGCCAAGATAAAGTGGTTGAGCCAACTAGGAAGCGACTAAGGAAGGGAAAAAATAAGCAATCAACCACAACAAAACTATGCAACCAACTTGAAGAACTTCGTGAAGCTGTTAAAAATAGGAGCTCCTATATACGCACCGATCCACCTGGATGTAGTGTTCAAGAGGTTATGGATAAGATGGCTACACTTCCTGGTTGCGAACCAATGACTCCTCTTTTCAAGCTAGGATTGGGCCTATTCACAAAGAAAGCAAATAGAGAGATTTTTGTAGCTTTAAAGGAACCCGAGTATCAAATTGAATGGCTGAAGGATCAACAATACCAACTTTGAAATATTTATCTTATGGTTAAAGTAATATATGTTGACACATTTATTTTGGCAAAATCAACTACTTCTCTTATTTTGGCAAAATCAACTACTTTTCTTATTTGTAATCTACGTGAG